CGTTCCCCTTTCCGCGGTCGCCCCCGTCGTTCCATGCAGCAGGGCCGCCACTTCTCGCGCCGCTTCAACGCGCTGGAGTATGGTGAGCAGGACGCTGTTGCCCCACTGTCATCTGAGGGCGACCACAGCGACGACCTCGATCTCTGCGAGGCCGTCCACTATCACTTGGAGGACGCTACCCTCCCTGCAGCTGAGCGCCTTCAGCTCGCGCTCTCTGCCCTCTCTCGGACACGCAGCCGCACCGGTCACGCTGGCGCATCGCCCCCCGAGGTCCCTCAGGGACCTCCCTCAGGGCTTCGTCCCTCCTCGTGGTGTCCTTTCCCTTGAGGAGCGCGCGACTATTCTGGGCTTGCGTGGGTGTTTGCGCTGCCGCTTGGACGGTCATACCTCCTCGCGGTGCCCTTACACTACCGCCCTCGACCGCCACTACACTGACCTTTCTCGTCAGCGTCGTGCTCAGTCCCCCCCGGCGCCTCACGTCCCCGCGGCGCCTCCTAGCCACGATGCAGTGTACACCTGCGCCCTCCTCAGTAGTGGGCTTCCTGACATCTCCGTCGCGGTTCTCCCCTCTCGCTACTGGAGTTGAGGTATTGCAGGACTCGACAGAGTGTACTCAGCCCTCTGTCGCAGTACCGTCTGCGCCTCCGCAGACCACCGTCTCCCCTCCTTCCCCGCCGCGACTACCAACGCGTCGAGCCATTCGCTCATCCCGTTGCACCGAGCAGATTGCTACTCGCGAGGACGTTGTGTCCTCTCTTCTGGACTTGAGCATGCTCCAGGCTCGTCAGGAGCGACTCACCCTCCATGTCGCTGCACTGCGTATCGCGTACCTTTCATAGGTACCACGACGACACCACGCCCCGATCCTCCTCCCCCGGAGCCTTCAGTGCCCACACCATCTCCCTCTATCACTGTCACCTCGCCTCGGCAGTTCGCTCACTTCATTCGACAGGACGACGTCACCTTCCTAATGGTGGACGTGACGGATCAATACACTATGATCCACCCTGTCCCGACGCCGAGCTCATCCCTCTGGAGCCAGATCCTCCCTCTATCTCCATGGCTCCCATCTCTACTTTCGTCCCTCCGCCGTCCGTCAAGTCCACCCCGCCGTCGCGCGCTGACGCTGACGCTGAGAAACTCGCACGGTATACGGCTGACTTGGAGCCCGCAGTTCGTGACCTCATTCGAGAGTACCACGGCGTTTTCCCATCGTCGTTCTCGTACGCCGRCATCCCACCGATGCGTGACGTCGAGCACTCCATTCAGCTCGTGCCTGAMTATCGTGTTCACCACCAGGCACCCTACAGACTCTCGATCCCCGAGGCCACCGAACTCAAGCGTCAGCTTGAGGAGCTCCTGAGACTGGGTTTCATTAAACCCAGCAACTCCCCGTGGGGTACACCCGTCCTCTTTGCTCGCAAAGCGGATGGAACTCTTCGTCTCTGCATCGACTACCGCGGCCTCAACCGCTACAC